TATATATATATATATATAGATATATATATATATATATATATATATATATATATATTTATATATATATATATATATACTACAAAGCTTAATGCTTGTAAATTAACTAATCTTTAAATAAAAGACAAACACGTGGACTAATATACTTACAGAGCAGGAGTAAATCAGCGCAGCAATGCCCAGAGGTAAACAGCAGCACAGCATGGTAAAGATGGAGTAACCCAAGTAATCTGGCACTGCATAGGCCAGTGGAGCGACGGTCACAAAAACTGCAGGCTGCACACCGACCACGGACTGTTCTGGATATGGCCGGGTGTGACTGAAAGACTGGCTGGGATCCATTCGTCTGATTATTGGACTTTGATTGTAATTTTCTTTCTGCCTTGGGCTCTGCAGCAATGTATGTAAATGTAAATGTATGTATTACTGCACTCTGGTTCTGTCTTTTCTGTGCTGTTAGCCAACAAATTGGAGGTGAGTTGTAGGTTTTAGGGGAGGAGTGACAAGAACTTTACCCCTGTTTCCCATATACTCTGTGACTGCAGACACCAACTTGTGGTTTTACGCTTACTCAGATGAAATACAGGAAATATTGGGTGGGTCAAGAGGCTTATCTCATCACACCCGAGCATATTTTTGGGACCTAGTGGCAGTGAATCTTCCTCTTTTTAATCTTTTTCCTCCTGTCAGCATTCCATTCCATTTTCCCATTACAACATGGGTTATTTAGAAGAAAAATAGTTCTTGTTTAAGTGAGAAACAATTTTTTTTTTTAAGAATGAAAAGTTTTTTGCCCAAATCATTCCTCACTAGGCCTACACATGAACTCATGTCAAGTCACCTTTATTTGTATAGCGCTTTATACAATACTGGTTGTGTCAAAGCAGCTTTACAGTGTCAATCAGAAAAATAGTTTGTCAGTAATGCAAGAGGATAATAATAAAGAGTAATTTTTCCAGCTAAAGTCAGTTCACTGATCATCCAGTTCAGCTCTCTTCTAGTAGGGGAGCGCGGGGCACAAAGTAACGCAGGGTTAGTTGTAACGCACGTGGTTTAAATATTTCGACACATGATAGCATAACCAAATTTACAGCATTTACTAGTTACTATATCAACATTATATAGAGAAAAAAAGTGTGCCAAAATTCAAAAGTCTTTAGAAGATATCGCTGAACATTTATTTTACCATAGTAAAATTATTGTCCATAGTAATTCATTGTAAGGGACCCATGTATAGTTCAGTCAACACCTAAACACCACATTGTGTCATCCCAAGTAACTATGCCCTTACCAGTACCAGCTTTACCAGTGCCATCATTCTTATGTGCAGCAAACCAACCTCTAAGAAGGTCCCAAGTCACATATTCTGAGGAGAACATGCCTCCTGTCCCACAACAGCCCCATACAGCAATTATTCCTCAGCAGCCAGTGAGAACGCAACCGGTGACTCCCCATACAGACAGCGTTTTGACCTCACAGTTAACCCATCTTGTTGCCTCAGCTGCAGCAACTTCTGATGCGCATTCATCGTTACCTGGCCAGAGAGCTATACCCGGCAGTCAAACCCAGCCTTTTCCAGCTACTCGTCCAAGTGCAACGGTTTCATCTATCACCCCCTTTTACTCTCAATTCTATCCATACCTACCTGTTCCCCAAGCTACTTACCTGCCTCAACCCGGAACAGAACTGCTAATGGCCACAGCATATGGCATCCCTCGCCCTACATTACCAGTCTTCGAGAGTGGCACTGAAAGTGACTTTGCTCTCCTGAAACTGGCCTTGGATAATCTGCTGACCCACCATACACACATCAGCGAGCAGTACAAATATCAAGTGTTACTGAGTCATCTGAAATTTGCGAGTGCCCAGCAGCTGACTAAGGCCTATATGCACCACCCACAACCATACACTGCTACTTTACAGGCTCTGCAAGATAAGTATGGACAGCCCAGACAACTCGTGCAGTCCGAGCTAGGTGCTATCATGAGCACTCCACCACTAAAGGCGGGTGACTCCAGTGCCTTTGACTCATTCGCCTTGTCTGTCCAATCCCTGGTGGGCATGTTAAGGACTCTAGAGGGACAGAATGCGTACGAACTTATGTGTGGTTCCCATGTAGACCATCTTCTGGGCAAGATGCCACCTGCGTACAGAGATAGTTTCGTAGAGTACTGCCTAAGCCATGGCATCCTCCAAACTGGCACAGATCGAACCTATACTCTCCCTGATCTGGCGGCTTGGTTACAAATAAAGTCTCAAGCGAAGTGGCTTTCTAGCCAAGCAGCTGCCATGTTTCAATCTGAAACTACCAAACTATATGGGAAAGGTAGAGGAACCCCACCTCACAGAGAACGGTCTACTTCTGACTTCAGAGAAAACCACAGAGTCTCCTGAATCTACACAGGTTAAAGTCTTGTCCAAGCCAAAGCCTTACTGCCCTCACTGTGACAACAGAGAACACTACCTCAACTCCTGTGAGAAATTAAAGAAGTTAACCACCTCTCAGATTATCACCTGGATCACAGAGGGTAAACGCTGTTGGAAATGTGGTCGAAGCCATCCAGTGGATTCCTGTAATCTCAAGTGACCATGTAAAATCTGTAAAGAACTGCACCTTACTGTCTTACACAATTCTGTTAGAAAAACTTCAAGAGCCGTTCTCATGGTCAGCTTGCCCCCCCACACAAGTGTATCTTGACAGGCCCAACCGCTCACAGAAAGTCATGCTCAAAGTTGCCAAAGTTCTTTTGCACAATGATGGTCAGACTATGGAGGCTCATGCTGTTCTTGACGACGGCTTTGAGAGAACCATAGTTCTTCCTCCTGTTATTCAATGGCTTAAACTGAATGGAACCTCTGAGATTCTCCCGCTACAGACAATCCAACAAAGTCATGCTGAGCTCAAAGGGTCTACAGTAAATTTGTAGGTTTCTCCCATTGCTAAACCTACAGAGAGGTATGCTATCCACGATGCCTTCACTGCTCCTGGTTTATGTCTTGCTGAACATGATTACCCTGTGGCAGCTCTTCAGAGAGCATACCACCACCTGAGGGGTCTACCCCTGCTACCAGTAGACAGAGTACAACCTTTACTCCTCATAGGATCTGACATGCCACATCTCTTGAACCCCACTCAGCCTGTCCGTAAAGGAGCACCAGGAGGCCCTGTAGCCATATGCACCAAGCTTGGTTGGGTACTACAAGGCCCAGTGTGTCCCATTCAGCCTCCTAGAGGTCAGCAACAATGTGTGCACATCATGACTACACCACCCCGCGATGAACTATATCACCATGTGGAGCGCTTATGGCAAATGGACACCCTGCCATGCAACGAAAAGTTGATCACAAGGTCTAAACAGGACCAACAGTCTTTCAATCTCTTACAGTCTGCTACTGCTAGAGTGAATGTGGACGGAGTTTTGCGGTATGCTACACCATTGCTAAGGCGCACACCCATCACAATGCTACATGCAGGCAAAGAGGCTGTGCTTCCCAGTCTACGGAATACTGAGAGAAAGCTGGCCAAGAATCCTGAGCAGGCCAAGATGTACTGTTCTGAAATCCAAAAGCTGGAGACAGCAGGCTACATTGCCAGGATCTCACCAGAAGACGCAGATCAGAGCACAGAGTCCTGGTTTATCCCACATCACATGGTACGCCACAATGAGAAGGACTGAATAGTTTTCAACTGTTCATTCCAGAACCAAGGACAGAGTCCGAATGACCAACTCCTTCCAGGACCGTCACTGGGACCATCCTTACTGGGTGTTATTTTGAGGTTTCGCCAGCATGCCATTGCGATCAGTGGAGACATCAAGGGCATGTTTCACCAGGTACGTCTGTTACCTGTGACAGATCAGTGCTGCGATTTATATGGAGGGACATGAATAGGGAGGCTCAACCCGACATCTACGAGTGGCAGGTGCTTCCCTTTGGAACAACTTGCAGCCCCTGTTGTGCCATCTATGCTCTACAGTGGCATGCCCAAGAGTATAAAGACACCATGCATGGTTTGGATGACATTGTGGAGAACTCATTCTACATTGACAACTGCCTACACAGCACTCAAGATCAAAGTGAGGCCAAAGCTGTGATAGATGGGTTGCGCCAGGCTCTGTCAAAGGGAGGCTTCGAAATAAGGCAGTGGGCATGCAACATACCATCAGTTCTCAAGCATCTCCATTCAGAAGCCAGATCCACTAGTAGTGAATGTTGGCTATCTCAGTACAGTAATGACCTACAAGAATCCACGCTCGGCCTACAATGGTACTGCCTTGATGACACCCTCGGATATAAGGGCCGCTCAGCTGAGGCTGTTCAGCCGACTCTGAGAAACCTGTATAAGACTTTGGCAAGTCAATTTGACCCCCTTGGGTTTATCATGCCATTCACATCCAGGGCTAAGACTCTTATTCAGGATCTCTGGAGACAAAACCTCGGCTGGGATAACCCAATTGAACCCCTTTCCCTCAGAGAGAAATGGTACCAGTGGGCTGAAGAACTGTCTAACATCACCAAGCTACAAATCCCTTGGCCTTATGTTCCTGCCTGTGCTGACACTCCTTCCTCCATCAGAGAACTGCATGTCTTTTGTGATGCCTCTGAGAGGGTATACGGTTCTGTGGCGTACCTTCGGAGCACAAATGAGCATGAGGATGTCCATGTCTCCTATGTCTTAGCTCGATCCTGTGTAGCTCCCCGGAAATGCCTATCCATGCCCCACCTAGAGCTATCTGTTGCCCTAACTGGAGCCCAAATGGCCAAGGTAATACAGGCTGAGCTGACCCTTCTGTTAAACCAAGTCACCTACTGGTCTGATTCCACTACAGTGTTTCACTGATTAAAATCAGAGTCATGCCGATACAAGGTCTTTGTGGGGGCCCGAGTAGCGGAAATCCAGACACTAACTGATGTCAGCAGGTGGAGGTATGTTGACTCGGCTCAAAACCCAGCTGACCATATCACCCGAGGTCTGACCTTAGAGGAGTTAGCAGGCCCTCACCAATGGAGATCTGGCACAGATTTCCTGACTCAAGGATCAGACATGTGGCCATTGTTACCCACGTCAGCCCACGTTGAGCCCGAACCCAGTGAACTGAAAAGAGCACTTTCTTGGCGCAGTCACAATAATGTCCAGTTCCACACCTCCAGACTTTAGTCAGTTCCAAACCTGGAAAGAACTGGTCCAGTCCACTGCACGGGCCTGTGATGGGGCGGCCACCGCTGATACCCCTTGTGATGCCTCAAGCTATATCCAGGCAGAAAAGCTCATTTTAGCACAGGAACAGCTTGATACTTTCTCAGACGAAATAAAGGCTCTGAGAGCTGGACAGCCCATTCCAACTGATAGTCGTCTGTTTTCTCTCGCCCCAGAGTATGATATAGATACAGGCCTTATCAGAGTCGGCAGACGACTTCGCCGGGCTGAAACCCTGCAATCGGACAGTATAC